CTGAGGGCCTCCAGCATCACCTCACCCCAAGAGATTTTTCCTAGAGGACAAGACCTGGGACAAGACCTGAAGGCCTCTGGAAGACTCTGACTCACAACAGACTTAAATCCATGAGATGGTCACCAAAAAATCCCCCTCTCCCAGCCTGGCCAACCTGAGCTGGTGTCTCACTCTTCTTCCCCCAAAATCCCTCCCCAGGCCCCAGAGGCGCTGCCCATCCCCTTCACCGCTCCAACTTCCACAGCAGAATTCCCACAAATCCCAGCCCAGGATATCTGATTTTCCCTCTGGCAGAAACCTCCCAGCTGCCCAGCAAACAGCAGCTCCAATTTTAGCTTAAACCCCAGAGGTTAAACAAAAATAACCTCAGAATGGATTCTTGAGTTCTTTGGTTTTTTGGGTTTTTTTTTTGTCTTTAAAACATTGTGGTTTGGAGCTCCTGGCTGGATTTGCACATCCCCGGTGCTCCTCCATCCATCCATCCATCCATGGCATCCATGCATGCCACCCCCAGCGCTTCTCCAGCCATGCCAGCGAAACCTCTCAGGAAATGCCCAAAAATCTCTCCCAGTTTTCAGCCTGTCCCTAAAGATGACAAAGTCCCAGCAGCGAGGGAAGCGCTCCGGGAACAGCTTGGGATGCAGGAGGTGGATATTTCCCAGGAGAGGAGGGGAGAGGTTTCTCCATCAGGATCCACACACGAGATCCTGGCACGCTTCGGGCTGGGTGACCTTAAAGCTCAGGGCCAGGGACACCCAAACTTCTCCCAGGCTGCTCCAGGGATCCCATTCCAGCCAAACCCCCAAAAGCTCAGTGTAGGGCTGGGGACCCCCAAGCCTCTCCTATTCCCTTCCCCACCCCGGGACCCCCTGGCTGGAGCCCCCCGTGCCTGGCACTGCCCTAAGGCCAGATTAACCCCTGCAGGGCCGTGCGGGGGTGTCACCGCGGTTCAATCTGATTTACCGCCCCCCTGCCCTGCTCCTGCCCCTTCCCGGCAGGAATTCTCCCGGCTGGGCAAGGGGAAGGGCTGTTCTCCTCACTGAGAGGAGGGAGACGGGGAAATGCTTCATTCTCCACTTGGAGCAATCCTCCCCATGAGCCGAGAGCGGTGCCAGGCTGGGGGTGCCAGGCTGGGGGTGCCAGGCTGGGGGTCCCGCTGGGGCCGATGCCAACCTGGGCATCCCTGGGGCTCCTTTGGGCTCCGGGGATCCAAACCCATGGGAATCGCCACCTTTGCCTGGGGCGCTGCTTAATTAGCAGGGGCTAATTACCATTTGAATCCCGCTCGGATGTATTTTTAGCCTAAACCAAGAGGATCCATTTGGATTTCTCAGCGCTCTTTTAGCACCTGAGCCCAAAGCCACAACCCCATCACCACAAGAACCACAGGAGCGTCCTCCCCTCCCCGCCAGAACATTCCTGCAGTTTCCACACCCACATCCCCGGCAGCCAGCCTCCCCATTACAGCAATTAACCTTGTGGCTATTAATAACCCAGCCTGGCTTTCCCAACAGGAAAACCTGCAGGGGCTTGTTACAGGAACAAGGAGCCCGGGGTGATTTTTGGGGGTGGATGTGGGAATAATTGGAATTACAGGATGAGACCGTGGGGTCTCCAGAGGTTTTGGAAGCACATCCCGGTGTGGGGAGAGGTGGGAAGACCACGAGTGTCCTCCCCATCCCTAAAGCTCCTGCAGAGCCTGGAAGCAGGAAGGTGAAGCTCCATTTCCAGGATGGAATTCTCCAGGGGGATTCCTGTGCCTGCAACCCCAGGATTTATGGGCCATCCACTCCCAACATTCCCCGCAGGGACCAAGCTGCAGGAGGAGTGCAGGGAGACAGGGAACAGGAATATTTCCTCCTCCTGGGGGCCAGGAGCAGCTCCTCATGCTCCCTTTCCAGCCTGAAGGGAAGGTTTATCCACCTCCATGGGCTTTTTGAAGGCAGGGTGGCCGCAGGTACAAAAGGAGCCGCTCGCTCCAAGCCCTGCCCTTCCTCCCCTCTTGCCCAACACCTCGCTGCTATTTTCCTTTCCCAAGCACCAGAGAAAACGCTCGGGAGCAAGACCAGACACAGAGAGAGGAAGCAGCAGCTTCCTTCCCCATCCAAGGCCAATTATCCCAGGTGTTACACAAGGCACCCATTCCCACCCAAACACCGGGATCGGGATCAGGATTGGGATCGCTCCACCTTCCCTGGAGCCTCACACCTCGGGCAGCTGTGGCACCCACATTCCCTGCACAGAGAGACAAAATTCTGTCTCTCAGGAGAAGCACAGGGAGAAGAGAAAACAATCTTTATTTCTGTCCTTTTGTGTTCTCCATGTGGAATTTGGTATAGAGATTGTTTTCTCCTGAGAGACAGAATTTTGTCTCTCTGTCCGGAGAATGTGGGTGCCACAGGCAGCCCCGGACTGGAAATGTCCATCCCGGGCAAAAATTCCATCCCAAAGGAGCTCTCCTGCAGACAGGGAGGTGCCATCACTCCAAACTTCCCAGGTGGGATTCCCTGGAAATCCCCCAGGCCAGGGATCCCCCAGAGCCCAGGCATTTACATCCCATTTTATATGGAAAACACTAAAATGGGATCACACCTTTTAAAGCAGATATTTCCACCTCACTGAAGCCCAGGCCCTGCCTCTGCCACCCCCTCCCCAGCGGGCTCTGCCATCAGGCCTCCAATTTTAATTGAAAAAACATGATTTAGGTTAATTGGCAGCAGATGAGTTACAGGGCTCAGAAGCAGGGGAACATTTGATGCAGCAGATTTATGGCAGCAGGGATCCGACCATCCCAGGTTTTGTATCCCCCTCACAGCCCCACTGCCAAAACAGCTCAGCTGGCCAAAAAAAAAAAAAAAAAAAGTAATTAGTGTTTAATTTCTTAACAATTTTTTTTTACCTTCCTTTTAATTGCTCCACATAAAACTGTCCTAGAATTTTACAGCCTGGCCCAGTCCTCATTGCTGGTTTTAATTAGGCTGAGGCAGGGCTGGCACTTAATTTGGAGAGGGGGAGGACGTCAGACCACGCTCGGGGAAGGTTTTGCCATTCCAAGCACCCGGAAAACATCAGCAGGAGCAGCAGGGAGCAGGAGCAGCGCTCCCAGAGCTGGAGCTGGGGTGGCTCATCCTGCTCAGGGCTCCACAAAATCTCTGGTGGAAGGGAGCAGAGCTCTCTGCCAGCGGAATTTCCTCTCCTTGAGCAGAGCACAGGAGCTTAGAGGGAAAATGAGCTTAGCTCGGGGCAGCTTTGGGGTAATTCCCATTGCTGAGGGATTGGGGCTCCCAGCCCTTCCTCAGAGAGGGGCTCTGGCACCCTACAGAGCATCCCAAACCACTCCCAGGTTGGAGGAGCAGCCAGGCAATTCCTTGCAGGACATCAGAATTCCTGCCCAGCGAGGGTTAATGTTTGCATTTGGGCAAGCAAACCCATAAATCCAGGGATTTCTGCCTGCACCCAGGCTGGCTTTCCTGGCAGCTGCTCACCCAGGAAGGTCCCACCCTTCCCTGCTTGTGTTTGCTCGGAGCACCTCGGGGCCTTTGAGGGAAATATTCCTGAGGAACCCCAAAAATCCCATCTTCCAGCCAGTTGGAACTCAAAATGTCCCTCAGACATTTTGGGAGGTTCCAGGCCCAGGTCAGAAGCATTTGAGACCCTGGCAGGCAGCTGGAAACAGCTGTGATTTTGGGTTTGAGCCATGGAATGATTTACCAACCTTGCAGGAAGAACAAGGAGTCACAAAAGTTTAGATATTACAGTAGAAGTAGTCACAAAGTAGAGGGAAGAATTTTTGAGTGCTGTTCAGGGGGGTTTTGGTTTTGTACATGGGGGTCAGAGGTTTAAGATGGAGGGATTTGGGCCTGCCCTGTCCTCCCTCTTTCTCCTTCCTCACCTCCATGTTCTTGGTGATGTTGGCACTCACAGATTGGTTTAGAGTAGAAAAGCACCATTTAATATAGGTAATGGGCATTGGGGAAAAGCTGTACCCATGTAACACGTAATGTCCCATATAAAAGATAGAAAAGCACCATTTAATATAGGTAATGGGCATTGGGGACAAACTGTACCCATGTAACACGTAATGTCCCATATAAAAGACAGCAGCAGCCCTGGGCAGAGGGGGAGAGAAGAAGCAGTCGGGAGTCAGAGAGGATGTCAGGGTGTGTGTGTGCCTCTGCCTGAGCTCTGAGCAAACCACAGCAGCCCCAGAAGAAAATCTTTTAGATAACTTGCAATAAACTGCCTTGAGACCGAACAACAGAGACTGCTGAGCCTTTCTTTGGAAGCTCGGGGTGGAGGAGAGACTTTTCCACCACACGGAGCCCCTGAACTAGGCCGGGGCTCTGACACCAGCCCAGCCCTGGATCTGCCCTGGGGTGGAACAGCAGCCCCAGTGCCAATCCAGGCAGGAGTTTGTGCACAGGGGGAGCAGAGCCTCGGTGCTCTGCTCCAGTGGACAAGGTGGGGATCAAGCACAGGTTGGGCTCAGTCCTGGAAACCTTTTCCAACCTGAATGATCCTGGCAGAAACTTCCAGTCACCTTGGCTGCTCCCAGATAATTATTCTGAATCCGTGCTCATGAGGCCACTGTGTTTTTTATATGATAGGACCCCTTTTTTTTTGGTTAAATAATGTTCAAAATTCTAAAAAAAAATAATTATCATAAACGGATATTTCCATGCATAAATATCCCTTTTATATTTCCACAGGGCACCTTCCGGTGCTTACAGGGTAGAAGGGAACAGAATCCAGGGGCAATTAACAACAGGATTTTAGGGGAAATAATTTGCATTTCAGTGGCTTTTGGACGGCAGTGGTGGTTAAAGGCTGGAAAGGGAAGAGGGAAAGGACAGAGGAGAACTTTCCTGCAGAAAAAAGGTGTTAAACTCCTGGGCTGGCTTTGTTAGGACAGGAGTTTCTCAAGGTTTCCTGGACAACCCAAAGCATCCCCAAAACCCCCTGGAAAAGAAACGTGGCAAATGGAAAACAACATCCAGCACTCACAGAGCCAATGGGGTTTATTAAACGCAATTTAATTGTCCCTGAGGGTGACATTCTCCTCACTGTGACATTCCCCTCGCCGGGGTTTGGCTTCCCCCCGTTCCTGCTCCTGCTCCATGGTCCCACCTGGACTGGGATCCACTGGGATGCTCCAGCTGTGGCACAAGGACCCTCCTGAGGCCACCCAGCACAGGACGAGCCTCTGCCAGTCTGAAAGCCCAGCACCAGCTCAGCTCCTGCTCTTCCAAAGGCTCCAGCTCCCACCACGGGATCCACTGCAGCTCCAGCATCCTCAGGAAACACCCAAAGCCTCAAAAAGCCGCAGAAAAAAAGAGCAGAAGGAAATAAAGACCAAAAAAAAATCCACTGGAAAGCAGGCAAGCGCTTGGTCCTTTGCCAGAGAACAGCACTGAGCTCCTGCTCGGCCCAAGAGCTCTTCACCATCCATCCATCCATTGGCAGGATCCAAAGGATAATTCCCAAAGCCCAGCAGAAAATTGCTTATTCAGTCCCATCAGCTGCAGGTGGGAGGAGCTGAGCTCCTGCAGGGATGTGCAGCCCAGCCAGGCTGGGGAGGAGCAGATGTGGAGCTGGCTTTGCTTCTGGAGCTCAGGGAAGAGCCTCTCCCAGCCCAGATGTTCCATCGCTGCCCAGGGGAGCTGCTGGTCCCTGCTGGTCCCTGCTGGCCCTGAGCTCCAGCTGCAGTGTCCATCCTGTCCTCGGGAGCTGCTCCTGGCTGTCCTTCTGTCCTTCTGTCCCTCTGTCCCTCTGTCCCTCACCCCGAGCCTTCGGCACGACCCTGCCAAGGAAAAGCAGCGTTAATGGAGGGCTGGGTGGGGATGGGCAGGGGCTGAGCCTCCCTCGGCACCAAACCCAGGGTTTGGAGTGATGTGGGAGCAGGAGATGGAGGAGCAGCCCCAGACCCTTCTCCTCCTTCCCCTCAGCCTCTCCTGTGCAGTCCCACACGCTGCTGGGAACCAGAGCCAGGAGCAGCTGCAAACCCTCCTGCCTGCCCAGCACCTCCTGCCCCTCGGGCAGCACGGAGGGCACTGAGCCCGCATTCCCAGGGGTGGGCACCCCAGCACAGCGGGACCTGGGACGGGCAGGGAGGTAAAACACTGCCAGTGGCACCACTGAGGCACCTCCTGAGCTCTGCAGGGCACTGACCCCAAATCCCCCGGGGCTGGGGATCACTGCACAGCGGGATCTGGGATGAGCAGGGTGGGTGGTGGCATCCCAGAGGCACCCGGTGGCCCCGGAGAAGGTCCAGAGGCACCTGGCGAGCATCACTGGGGTCTGCAAGGCACCAAGCCCCAATTCCCAGGCTCTGGTCAGCAGAGACCAGCAGGATCTGGGACAGGCAGGGAGCTCAAGCATCGGTGGTGGCACCCCAGAGGCACCCGGTGAGCATCACTGGGGTCTGCAGGGCACCGAGCCCCAGTTCCCAGCCTTGGGGACGCGGGAGGTGGGCCAGGCAGGGATGCTGGTGACACCCCAGAGGTACCCAGAGGAGAAGGTGCAGAGGTCCAGCAGCCCCTCGGGGGGCACGGAGCTGCGGCCAAGGCCGGGGTGCAGCAGTGGGTGCCCGCAGGGAGCGGCGGGGCAGAGCCGCTTTGAAGGAGCCGCGGGCGGAGCGATCAGAGGGCGCGGGGCGATAGCGCAGCCCCGGGGCGGCTCTGATCTGCTATCAGCGCCCCGAGGCGGGCAGCACCGCACATCAAAGGCGCTTCTGCCGCCCCCACCCCGCAGGAGCCTGCGGGCAGCGCGGGATGCGGCCGGAGCTCCGGGGGCATGGGGAAGGGACACACCGGAGCGATGTCCGTGTTCTGGGGACATCAGCACAGCGCCGCAGGGACACACCGGCAGCGATGTCCCTGTCCTGGGGACATCAGCACAGCGCTGCAGGGACACACCAGGAGCGATGTCCGTGTTCTGGGGACATCAGCACAGCGCTGCAGGGACACACCGGAGCGATGTCCCTGTCCTGTCCTGCCCTGGGGACATCAGCACGTCCTGAATGTGTGAATTCGGTTCAGTGCCCCGCTTTAACCCACAGGACGGAACAGGACAGAGCCCTTTGCTTTCCCCCAAAGAAGACCCAGAGGTTTTTCCCCCAAGGAACCCCGCTCCTTCCCCCTGGCACTGGACCCTCGCAGCCAGGCCGATTTCAGGTGCCGCTGATTTTCTCCCGTTCCTCCCCCATTCCCCAGGAGGGATCATCTGCTTCCCTGAGCCGCACAGCCAGGCCACACACTGAGAGCCACCAGCATCTCCTGGCCACCAGCCCCGGGGTTTTTGTCCTCTCCACGAGCCCCCAAACATCCCGGGAGAGCAGGGATGGAGCGAGGGCTCGGCAGAGGATGCACCCCGAGCCAAGAGAGGAGGTGCTGAGCCTGCAGCAGGACAGGACCTGCACATTTTGGGATGGGATCTGCCTCCTGCCCTCCCCAAACCCGTGTTCTCCAGCAGCAGAGCAAAGTGCAGGAATAAAATGGGAATTCTGGCTGTGGAGGGTGGGAGCATCCCCAGACGGCGAGAGCACGAACTGTGTGGGCAGCAAAGCCAAACAGGAAAGGGATCCCAGAGGCAGGGACAGGATTCCAGCAGCTCCCACCTCCCTGCTGCTCCCTCAGACCCCTGGCCCTGCTCAGACATGTCCCAGTTCCGCTTTCACTGCTGCAATTCTTCCAGCCAAAGGGCTGGATTTACAAAAATGCAGCTGGAGAGTCGCAGCCCCATCGCAGGAACTGCTCCCAGCAGAGCTGCCTCAGCACCCTGTGCCCTGGCCCTGCACCCACACCCAGGCTGGGCTCAGCCTGGCCCCAAAAACCTCAAAAAGGGAAGTCCTGGCATGTGTCATTCCCTCTCTCCCTGTGTCCATCCCTCCCTGAGTGTCACACATGTCCCATCTCACAAGGGGATCCTTCCAGCTCCTTCCTCCCCACTCCCCCACAGGCAGAACCCCCCAGGTTGGGCCAGCTCACGTCCCCAGCCCGCCCAGGAGGTGACCTGGGCTGGGAATTTGGGATCCTTGGCAAGAAATCCTCACCACGCTGCCTCCTCCATCACCAGCACTGCAGGACGTGCTGCATTGTGGAGTCATGGAATGGTTTTGGGGGGAAGAGACCTTAAAATTCATCCAGTGTCACCCCCTGCCACATCCCACTGCCCCGGGCTGCTCCGAGCTCCCATGAACACTTCCAGGGCTGGGGCAGCTTCTCTGTGGGATCCTGTGTGCCTCACTGCAGGGGGATGTAAAGGAGAAGGATCAGCCTGAGCCTGCTCCAAGCAGCCCCAGCCCAGTTCCCAGAGCCTGTCCCGAGCCATTGTCCCCAGCCCCGGCAGAGAAGAGCTTTGTTCCCAGGCCACCCTGCCGGGAAGGTGTTAATGAGTAACCCCGACCCAGACGCGCTCCCTGAGTCACCCGGAGCCGCCTCTGACTCCCGGACACCCGGCCGAGCCCCCGGGGCGGGGGATGCTCGGTGCTGGGGACAGACTGGATGAGACCCCCCGCCAAAAGCTGCCTCTTTAACCCCAAAATAGCCCGGGGTGCGGAGAGCTCTGCTGAGATGTGGCACCACACAGAGGAGCTGCAGGAAGGAGCCCAGGACACCCCAGGGGTGGCTCTGATGTGCCCTGGCTGCATCCCAGGGGATGGATGGGCCAGGGGAGATGCAGGGATGGCCCAGGTGAGTCCTGGCACTCCTCATTCCCAGAGGGATGCTCTGGGAACCCACTGCTCCCAGCTCCATCCGCAGCTTCCTCCTCAAATTCCAGCCCTGACCAAGCCCCCAAACCTGAGCACAGGTGGAAGCCTAAAATAGAACTTCTCACCCCCGCTCCAGGCACACCCCTGAGGACTTTCTTGCTGACACACTCCAACCTGTTCTGCCTCCTGCTCTTTCGAGCAATTTCCCCTCCTTGCCCGCAGGAAAAGGCCACCCTGGCTCCTGAGGCCAGGAATGCAGAAAGTCCCATTCCCCTTCATTTTTGCAGCAGGGTGACAAGCACGGGGTGACATCAGCCTGGGCCAGCCCACGCTGCCCCAGGTTTCAGGAAGGCTCTGGCACCTGCTGCCAGTTCTGGGTCATTTATTCAAGTGTCCCCACAGTGACAAACCCCTGCCAGGCTGAGGGATGGGCCTGAGCCGTGACATTCCCTGAGCAGGAGCTCTGCTGATTTCCCAGCATTTCTGCTTTCCCTCGCTGTGGGCAGGCAGGAGCTGGGCAGCTCCCCTTGGTGGTCCTGGTGGTCCCTGAATCCCCCAGAGGAGCTGGAGGGCTCTGCCCCCTCCTCACCATCAGGAGGTCTCCATTTGCTGCAGGGGAGGTGATGCCTCAGGTTCAGCTTTTCTATTTTTCCCATTCTGTGCTGCCTCAGTGTGTGGGTCTGGGCTCCACATGAGGGGATGCTGAGCTCTCTGCACAGAGCAGAGACAAAACAATTCCTGCTCCAGCTGGGCACCAAGGACAAATGATCCAAACCTCAGCCCAGGAGCACAAACACCGTGGGCTGGAGAGAGAAAAACAAGCAGGGTGGGACTGCCTGGGCTGAAGCTGGAATGGGACAATGAACTCCAAGGTGCCAATGGAGCAGAACTGATCCCAGGGAGAGCCCCCGGGAGCGCTCGTGCATTTTGGGACCATTTTGGTTCATTTGGGTGCAGCCCTGGCTGGGCTCTGGTGCTGCCCAAGGTGGATCCATGGAGGAGATGCTTTGAATAAATCCCTGCTTTATTCTGGAGCTCTGTCCAGCCTCTGTTCCAGCTCAGCCTTCTCAAGGCATCACAGGGATGCTCTGAGGTACCTCCTGCACCCACAGAGGCGAGCAGGGAGTGGATCTCCAGGATAAAAGGGATTACATGGGGTCCCTCCTCATTCCTGCACCTGTCTCCCACTGCAGTGCACAATAAACTGCTCCCGGGGTGGGAAGAGCTGCAAACCCCCCCCGTGTTTGTCCCCAGGGAGGAATGGGTTGGGTCTGGCTGTGCATCCCACAGATCCCATCCCAAGGATCAGCTCTGCTCCCCATGGCTTGGGGATGTCCCAAATCCATATACTGGGGCAAGGAGCTCTCTGGAAAGCTTTGGATCAGGGAGTGACACCAAACAAGGGTGCAAAAGCCACACCAGAGTCCTAGCCTGTCCCCACCCCCGTCCTTGGAAGTGGGAAGGAGGGAAAGGAGGAAAACCCATCCGGTCGCACATTGATTTCACAGCTCTGAGCTGATTTCCAGCCCGGGGATTACCCACTTAAGCAGTGTTTTTTCCTGTGCTGACCCTAAGCTGATTAATTCTCTGTGCCCCCCCCCATTCTCCCCTCTCTCCTTTCCTCCTTTCCACGGAAAATGAGGGAATGAAATCCCAGCGGAACGAGCTGAGGCAGAGCTGGAGCGGAGCAGAGACACCCCCCAGCCTGACGGGATCCTGCCTCCTTGCAGAGCTTCCAACCTTCTCCTTATCCCAAAGGATCTGATATCCCTGAGGGAAGGGAGAAATCTCCCTGCCCAGGATCCCAGCAGGTCATGGTGAGCCCCACCAGCAGCAGCACTGCCCTCCCAGCACAGTGGGAATTGTTGGTCCTGGAGATGCTGGTGGGACTCGCCCAAAAGCAGCCAAACCTGCCCTGGCACGACCCAGGGCAGGAATCTCCTTTTCCAAGTGCTATCCCTCCCCGTGAGCCCCGGGATGCTCCAGGGTTTGCTCCTTAAAGGAGGAATTTCAGAGGCTCGGGATTGGGGGATGCGAGGAATGAAGAACACAACCCTTGGGGAGCCCCCAGGGCACCTCCACCCCAATGCCCAGAGAATTCCCAAAGCACAGAGCAAATCCAGGTGTGCCAGGGCACCTCTCCCACCCTGGCACGGCAGCAAAGCCGGGAACACACCCATCCCTATAAAAAGATAATGACAGAACCCAGCAGCAGGGAAATTAGCACAGCAAAACTCTGCTTCATTCCCACCAGGATCTGGATCAAGAGGCAAAATTCCCTCTCAGCTGCAGTGAGAAGGGCCCTGGGGTCAGGATTAGGGGCTGGGGAAGGGTGGGGAAATCCAGGACTCACCTGGAATTTGGTGTTCAGAGGGGACTGAATTTGGGGCTCTTGGTCCCTTCTGGAGAGTGGCACCAAAAACCCTCCAGGAGCATCGAGCAGGGCAGGGCTTGAGGCACGGAATCGATGGTGAGGCCTAAAGGTGGGGAATTTAAAAAGGGATTTCTTGTAAATGACTTCCCTTGAAGTGGGACAGAAAATTGGGATAAAACACGGGTAAAGCATGGATAAAACATGGATAAAACAAAGATAAAATATGGATAAAACAAAAAATATGGATAAAACACAGATAAAACCAGATAAAAATAGATAAAACATGCATAAAACACAGCTAAAACATGGATAAAATACAGATAAAATATGGATAAGACACAGGTAAAACATGGATAAAACACTGCTAAAATATTGCCAAAACGTGGATAAAGAATGGATAAAACGCAGCTAAGATATGGATAAAACATAGATAAAAACCAGATAAAACATGAATAACACACGGATAAAATATGGATAAAGAATGGACAAAACACAGATAAAATATGGATAAAACACAGATAAAAAACAGATATAACATGGATAAAACACAGATAAAGCATGGATAAAACACAGCTAAGATATGGATAAAACACAAATAAACATGGATAACACATGGATAAAACACAGATAAAAAACGGGTAAAACATGGATAAAATATGGATAAAACACAGATAAAAATCAGAGAAAACATGGGTAAAACACAGCTAAAACATATCCATGTTTTGGATATGGATAAAACACAGATAAAAACTAGATAAAACATGGATAAAACAACGAGGCCTTGCGGTGTCCAACCCAAGGACACACGGCTGAAAGAATCAAATAACCCTCAAACAGAGAACCCTGTGGGAACCCAGGGCTTCAACGTAGGTGACAGATATTGGCACGTTATTGTAAATCCAGCACAGGTAGTTTGTGGTATTTAATGTTTGTAACATCCCACTGAGGGCAGAGCCCCACACCCTGCCCACACAATCCCCATTTCCCCACACACAATCCCCATTTCCCCACACAGAATCCCCACTTCCCCACACACAATCCCCACTTCCCCACACACAATCCCCACTTCCCCACACACAATCCCCACTTCCTCACAGAATCCCCATTTCCCCCCCCACAATCCCCATCTCCCCACACAGAACCCATTTCCTCCACACAATCCCCATTTCCCCACATGGAATTCCCATTTCTCCACACAGAATCCCCATTTCCCCACACAGACCCCATTTCCCCACACAGAATCCTCATTTCCTCACAGAATCCCCATTTCCCCACACAGAATCCCTAGTTCCTTAAAGAACCCCTATTTCCCCACACAATCCCCATTTCCCCACACAGAATCCCCATTTCCCCACACACAATCCCCATTTTCCCACACAATCCCCATTTTCCCACACAACCCTGGGATGATTCCTGTTGGAACCCCCGAGTTCCTCCTGTCCACCCATGACCCTGGCACTGCCGAGGCCACACGAAGCCCTGTCCCCAAGCAGGACAGCACTCCCACCCTTCCAACAGCACCCTGAGGTTTGATCCCAAAATCCCAGTGAGTTTTAGGTCCCATGAAAGAGCCCCTAAATGCCCCAGGGCCAAACAGGTTTGCTCAGGACAGGGATGAAGCCAAGGATTTGTCACCCAATCCTGACAGATCTTTGGGATAATTCCCAATCCCTTCAGCACAACCTTCACAAGTGTCTCCTTCCCCTCATGACATCCATGTAAGATCCACCTGGAGATGGATTTTGGGAGAAAATTCCACCTTCCTGCAGAACTGGGTGCTTCCAGTGCTCTGCTGATCCCGTTTCAACAGCTGATCCCTTTTCAACACTTCCACATATCCCGGCTGTAATTTACAGAGCTCATTTCCCCGGCACCCCGAGCTCAGCACCCGCCTGCACTGGCAGCTTTGTTTGCTTTAATTGAAGGGGGGGAAAAAAAACCTGGGAAAAAAGCAAAACTCCTCTCCCAACCCCCTGGTTTCATTTTCCAGCTGCCTTGATTTATTGATTGGCCCGTTCCCTTTTAATGGGCTCTCCCTGCCCGGGCCTGGGGGTTTCCTGCGGGGCAGGGATTTGAGGGGGTCCTGCCATGTCCAGGGAGTTCATTCCCAACAGCATCCCTTGCATTTGAGCAGGAGGAAAGCTGGCTGCAGCTGCATCCCTGCTGGATCCTGCTGCACCCTCCATCCCCAGCCCTGCTTGTCCCCTTTCCAGACACCTTCCAGCCCTCTGCTCCCAGCGTTCCCACAACAAAAGCCACTCTACAGCAAAGCAAGATTCCACAGGAGATATTTTCACCGGGATAACAAAAGGGCTGCAGGCACAAAACCTGATTTTTCCAAGCTACACCCACTTCGCTGCTCCCTCCTCCTCCTGGCTGCGCTGGTTTGTGGTTGAAGCCATAAAAGTACAATGGGAAGTGGGATTTGGGATTTGGGAGGGGAATGCCAAGGGCTGAACAGCTCCATCCCAGCCCCTCCTTAGGGCAGGTGAGGAAGAGACCTGGCCAGTGCTGGAGCACAGGGGAAAGAGCCCAGCAGTGCCCAGCCTTCCTCCCTCGTCCTCCTCCTCCTCTCCCTTGGGCAGGATCCAGGGCCCAGAGCCTGCAGGGAGAACTCCCAGCGGATGAGATCTGCATCTCCCTTAATTAAATTGTTCCTTTGGGATTAAAGGAGAGGGCTCTGCCCAGCCCAGGCTGCAGCACCGAGCCTGGAGCACGCTGGGTTTTCCCTGCAGGAGCTGGAGGAGAGGGAGGCTCCACATCCAGGGGGGTGCTCAGAGCAGCTGGAGACCTTTGGAATGGACAGAGAGGATGGGTCAAAACTTGGGATGGAGACCCATGTGCAGTCCAATTCACCCAGTGCAGCCCAGTTCACCCAGTTCAGCCCAATTCACAAAGTGATGCCAGTCCAACCCAGTTCATCCAGTCCAACTCAGCTGATCCAGTGCAGCCCAGTTCATGCAGTGCAGCCCAGTTCACCCAGTTCAGCCCAGCTGATCCAGTGCAGCCCAGCTGTGCCAGTCCCAGCACTGGGATGCCCAGGGAAGCACTCTCTGGAAGTCTGTGTGGTTTCCCAGCTTTGTGGGCTCTTACAGATCGTCCCCAGTCCCAAACTGGGATCATCTGGGAGAGAGATCCCGACCCTGCTGAAGTTAAACGCAACAAAAATGGAGGAAAACTGGGCATGGAGCATTCCAGCCCAAAGCATTCCAGTTAAACCATCCCACTGAAGGCGGGGATGTCCCACCTGCCCTGGCAGAGGAGGGGGTGCTCCCCCAGCTCCCTCTGGCCCAGTTCCACCAGTCCAGCCTGGTCCAGCAGCTGGGAGTCGTGGGTTTGGCCGCTCACAATCAGGGCTTTTTGAAATCCTCTCTATCTCACAGGAGCTGAGCCTTGGCTGAGCCCCAGCTCCCAGCCCAGGATAAACACAGCCTACCTGGCCTGGAAGTGCCAGAGGCTCGCAGGCACCATCCCTCTGGATAAACATCCCAGCAAAGCCAGCCCTGGGCGCTGTGGGAACGCTCCGTGCACGGGGTGAAGTGTTTGGGAACACTGGAGCACAGGAGATGCTCTCCCTCCCTCCCTCCCTCCTGCCTGCCCCAGGCTCGGCTGCTGCAGGGGATTTAAAGGCAAAGCCCAGCAGCAGGATGGGGAGGAGGAGGAGGCTGAGCCACCTGGGGGTCCAGGACAGGCAGGTGGCCATGTCCCCGTGTCCCTCACACCTCTGGGAGGCACAAACAACGCTGGGCAGGCAGGAGAGGCAGGGCTGGGATGCAGAGGGGGATCCAGCCCTCGGAATGGGCACTAAAAGAGCTGCAGGGAAAGCCCTGAGCCAGAGGAAGGTCAGGATCAGGGTCTCACACACTGACCCTGCACCAGGGCTGAGGATGGATTCAAACCAGCACAGCAGGGTTACGTTGGTTAGGAGGAAAAGCTTCTTTCCTTGGGAAGGTGGGGAGGCCCTGGAATAGAATTCCCAGAGTGTGGGAGTCCAGAGCTTCCCTCTGGCTGCCCTGGCAGGTCTGGGACCCTGGCAGGGGTCAGGAACTCCCTATACAGAGCCCCCAGAGACACTGTCTGTGATCTCTGTCCATGGAAAAGAGTTTTCAATCTTACAGGATGAATTACAAGCTCTGAGTGTTTGATATAACTAATAATTAGGTGTGGCACGGGTGCAAAAGTAAAATTTTAGGATTCTAGACGAGCGGTCCAAAGGGGACAAGATGGAGGAAATTGGGTGTGTCTTGTCCTTTTTCTCCTTCTTCATGCCCTCCATGTTTCACTGTGGTGTTGGCATTTTTCTGTTGGTTCAGGCTGGGGACACACTGTCCAACGTAGGTGACAGATATTGGCACGTTATTGTAAATCCAGCACAGGTAGTTTGTGGTATTTAATGTTTGTACCATCCCACTGAGGGCAGAGCCCCACACGCTGCCCTGCAGGACAGAGCTGCGGCAGGGCAGCAGAACATGTTAGAGATAAACAGAATAAACAACCTTGAAACCAGCACAGACCAATTATGGCTTCTGCTTTGGCAGCGGGGCTGACAGACAGAGATTTCTACAATCTCAGGATCATCAATACCTCAGATTCCAACACCAGAGAAGCTGTGGCTGCCCTGGATCCCTGGAAGTGCCCAAGCCGGGCTGGAGCAGCCTGGGAAGGTGGCAGGTGTCCCTGCCCACGATGGCACTGGATGAGCTTTAGGGACCTTCCCAAGCCAAGCCATTCCAGGATTCCATGCTCAGCATTGCCAGGATGAACGATCCTGGCTGGAGATCCCTGCTCCCCACCAATGGGAACACTCCCTTGTGCACAAGGAGCACGGAGAGGATTCCTGCCCCAACTTCCCAAGCAGGTGCCACAATTTCAGCCATGCCAACCTTTCCCAAGCCCCATTTCCCCCTCCTTTCTCCCTCTCCCTGCCCTCCATCCATTGCTTTTCCAGCTTCCAGAGGGTTAAAGGTGTGTTCTCCTGCAGGGCTGGGCTCCTTGCCCTCCCTCCTGCCCCTCTTTTCCCAGCATGGACTGGGAGACCGGAGGCTCTCCAGATTTAATCTCCAAGACAAACACCCTGGAGCTGAGCCTGCTCCATGTGCACTC